CCCCCCTCCCCCCTTGCATATGCTCCTCATGCCACGCGGGCTAACTCGAATCGCTGCCTCTCCGCCGGGGCTGTCCCTGTCTCTTGCCCTTCCTCTCGTGAATGACGCCCAGCCGGCTGCAAAGCGAGGAGGGCCGCCATGCGGCGGCCGAGGCCTGCCTCCTTGCGGCCATCCGGTCCCTCCCGCGGCAGCACCGGGTCATGTCGTATGCGGCCCTGCGCGCTGGGCTCGGCGCCGGGGGGTCGGTGTCGGCATCGGCCCCGCCGGTCGGCGTCCAGGCCTTGCCGCTGGTGGCCGACCTGGCGGCCCTGTACCTGGACGAGGGGGAGGTGGACAATGCGATCGTCCTGCTGGAGCATGTGCTTCTTCGCGATGCCATTGCCCCGGCCACGTCGTCGTCGCCGTCGTCGTCGGCGGCGGCGGCAGCGACCCCGGCCGCAGCTGCATCGGGTTCCGCCCCCGGCTCGGCCGATGGGGAAGGCAGTGGGTCCGGTGTTGGGGCGGTCGCCGGGGCCGGCCCGAGCCCCGGTCCCGGCGACCGCGCCAGTGCGGGCGGGGGGTCTGCTCCTGCCCCGGGGCCCGGGTCGGGCGGTGGGCCGGGCGCTTCGACCGGCGCGCCGGGCCCCGGGACCGGGCCCGGGGCCACCCGGTCGCCGGACTTGTCCACCGGTGCCGGGGCGGCGGCCGTGGCGGCTCTCAGCTCGGTCGGCCTGCCGGCCGGCCTGGCCGCCGGGTGGCCGCTGCACAAGCTGTCCCAGCCGCTGGCTCTCCTGGCGCGGGCTTACTCGCTGAAGGGCTGGCCGCGGGATGCCCTGTCGGTGTTGCTGCTCTTCGACCGCCATGATACCGGTCTGTCGGCGTGTCACATTTCCAGCCTGGTGTTCGGGGCGCTGCCGGCGTTCGGGGAAAACCGCGTGTGCCTGATGGCACGCCGGCGCCTGGAAGAGGCGGCCGCGTCGGCCACCGGGCCGGGAGGGTCGACCTCGGCCGGTGGTGGGACCGGCGCCAGCGCCGGGACCGGCAGTGGCAGCTGCATCCCGGTGGCGGTGCCTTCGCCGGCGGCCGGCGGCGGCTCCGGCACCCTGGTCATCACCATCGGCGGGGTGGCCGGGGCCGTGGGCGGGCCCGACACCCCGGTGGCCATGGATCCCGGGGCGTCGATCGGCGCGTCGGCATCCGTCGGGCCGTTGGGCGGCTCGCTGGCGGCCGGCGGGTCGACCTCCACCGGGGCCGGGCCCTTCGCCGGGCCGCCGACCAGCGGGGCCATGTACTTCAGCCTGACGACCCCGGGGCTGCGGTACCCGGTTCCCGAGTCGCTGCCCTTCAACACGCCGAGCTTGGTATCGCGCACGTTGATCGCCTGCAGCATGCCTTCGGATGCCCTGCGGGTGGTGGACTGCTGGCAGGACCGGCTCTTTGCCTCGTCGGCGGCTTCGTCCTCTTCCTCGGCGGGGCCGGGCGCCGTTGGTGGCGGTGCCTCCTCCTCCGGAGCCGGCTCCGGAGCCGGAGCCTCGCCTGCCGGGTCGGCTCGGTCCACCTCGCCGGCTCCCGGCGGCAACGGCAGCGGCAGCGGCCTGTCCTCCTCCGGCCCGGCCACCGGCGGGTCCTTCCGCGGGTCGGCCGAATCGCTGCCGGCCCAGCTGCCCGGTGGCAGCGGCGACGCGTCGGCCTGGTCGCTGAGTGCCTCGGGCGGCAGCGGGCGCACGCGCGCCGACAGCGTGTCCTCGCATGTCAGCGCCCGGTCGGGCCAGACAACCGCCTCTTCCGGGTCCGGGTCCGGGTCCTCGTCCCTGGGCCCGGGCGCCAGCCACCCGGAATCGCCGCAGTCCCTGTCATCCGACTCGCGGGCCTCGTCCTCCTCGTCGCTGGTGGCCCCGACGGTCGGTGGGTCCTTCTCGCCCAAGGCCCCGTCGCTGGATGTCCGCACGGCCGGGGGGGATCCCCCGGGCGAGGGCCCCCCCGGGGTGGTGGGGACTTGGGCGGCTTCCTCGCCGACGAGCCTCGACTCGCCACACTCGCCGACCGACTCGCTGAATGCCTCGCCCCGGGGGCGGGCCTCCTCCACCGGGGCCGATGGCGGCAGTGGCGCCGGCGGGGGCACCGGCTCCGGCACATCGGTCCGGCGCTTGAATTCCGGCAGCGGCCGGGGTTCCGGGCCCGGCGGCCCGGGGTCCGCTCCCGGTGGGCCGACCTCCGGCTCGTCGCTGGCCGCCCGCGGCCGGCTCATGATGACCAAGGCCCGGGTGCTGCTGGCCCAAATCAATCACCAATCCTCGACCGTGGTGGATGCCTCCTCCTCGCTGTTGAACTCCACCTCGGCCAGCAGCCTGGCCGGGCAGGCCGCCGGGCCACCGCCATCTGGCAAGCAGTCGTCCATGTCCGGCGGGGGGCCCCTGTCACGGTCGTCCTCGGCCGGCCGGGGCGCGGGCGCGGGCGGTGCTCCGCTCCGGCCCTCGCAGTCCATTGACTCGCTTCTGTCGGCCGGGGCCGGCCCGCCGGGGGCCCTGGCGAGCTCGGCCCCGGCCCCGGCCCCGGCCCCGGCCCCGGCCCCGGCCCCGGGCCCGGGGGCCGCGCCTCTGGCCGGGTCCTTCTCCAGCCTGCCGCTGCCCGGCGACAGCGCCGAGTCCTTCCCCCAGTTTGTGGACATTTCGCTGGACGATGTGCCGGAGCATGTGGACGCGGTGGCGGCCGGGCCCGGGACCCCGGCGTCGGCCCCGGCGGCCGCGGTGGCCTCCGTCGGGTCGGCCATTTCGCGGGCCTTCTCCCATCGGCGAAGCCGGTCCGAAGGCCCGGCGGCCCTGGCCACGGCCGGCGACCTGTCGGGGCTGACCGGCGGGGGGGTGCCGCCGCCGCCGCCGCCCCTTCCGCCGCCGGCTGTGGCGGCGGCGGCGGCGGCCGCGCTGGCGGCCCGGCGCCGGCCGGACTCGAGCGCCGGTGCCCCGGGCGCCGGGCCGCTCCACTCGCTGGACGACCTGGACCTGTTGCCGCCGACGCCGGTGACCCTGCCGGCGCGCATCCTCAGCGCGGATGACGTGCACGCGCGCTGGGTCGGCCGGGCCAAGGCGGCCTTTGCCCAGGCGGCCCAGCTCCTGCAGGCGGCCGGCGACACGCTCGGCGTGCTGAAGGCCCGGGTCCGGTCGTGCGAGGCCCGCGTGGCCAAGCGCCTCCGGCGGATCTACCCCCCCGGGCGGCTGGCCATCACCTCGCTGTCGACGGCCTCGTTGTTGGTGATGCGGTCGTCGGTGGGCGATGCGCTGGAGTATGCCATCGCCATCGGTGCCTACCCGATGGCCATTCGCTGCCTGGTGGCCATGGCCGAGATCGAGTGGTGCGTGGCGTCGGCCGACTCGCTGGCGGCCCTGTCCGAGGCGGATCGACATGCGGCCCGGTGCGCGGCGGCCCGGTCCCGCGGGTACTGGGTTGAGGCGTGGCGCCTGGCGCAGGATGTCTACTTCCCGGATGGGACGACCTTCCGGTTCGGGCGAACGGGCGCCACCTCGGCGCGGACCCTCAGCAGCCTGCATGTCCTGCTGGCGCGGCTCTTCTGCCTGATGCGCATGTATTGCGCCTCCTCGGCGGCCGAGCTGGCCGAGGGGGCCGACCTGCTGGGCGATGGCCGGCCCCGGGCGGCCCGGTCCGGGTCCTTCTCCTCGGGGTCCTCCTCGGTGTCGGGGCCCGGGCCCGGCGACCCGGCCGGCGGGGGCCCCCCCTCGGAGGAGGACGACACGTCGTCCCTGGCCGATGGCGAGGGCAGGGCAGCCAGCCGGCCGGAGGATCCCGGCCAGGCCTTTGCCCGGCTGCATTGGCGCCTGCCGGTGGCGCTGGCCGATGTCGAGTGGCGCATCAGCGTGTCGGTTCGGCGTTTCGGGGCCGGCGGTCGCGAGGCCGGCGGTGCGTGCGTCAGCGAGCCGCTGGCCCGCTTTGTCGGGCTGTATCCGCAGGCGGGCGGGCCGGTGGGCCCGGCCCCCGGGGCCGGGGCGCCCTCCGGCGCGGACCGGCTCTTCAGCGGCGTGCGCGGCGTCTTCCGCAGCCTGCTGGGCCTGGGCGGCGCGGAGGCCGGCAGCAAGGCCGGCCTCTCGGGCGCCGCCAGTGACAAGGCCGGCCCCGGGGCCGGGGCCGATACCGCGGCGGCGGCCCTGCGCCTGTCGGCCGAGGAGGCCGAGCGCGCCTGCCTCGCGGCCCTCGGGGAGGACACCTTCCGGGGGTTCCTTCGCACGGGGGGCGGCGCGCTGGCGGCCGAGTCGGCAGCCGCCGGGGGGTCCGGCGGTGCCGGCGGCAGCCCCCTGCGCTCTGGCGGCCGGGGCCCGGCCGGCGGGGCGGCTTCACCCGGCGGCCGTCCGCTCGGCGACCCGTCCACCTTCGACAGCTTCTACGACGAGGAGCCCCATGCCCTGGCCCTGTCGGCCGAGGAGCGGGCATGGGCCTGTACGCGGCTGGTCCGGCGCCAACTCCGGGCCTTCCGCCGGGGCCGGCTGACCTACGAAACGGCGCAGTCGCGCTCCGGGGCCGCCTGGGCCGGGTTCTTCGGCACCCTTTACCCCTCGGAGCCCGGGGTGGATGTCAATCACATCCCGCTGACCGGGGCCGGCCCGGCCGGGGACAGTGCCTCGGCCGGGTGGTTCCCGGCGCCGGAGGGGGGCCTCCTGCGGCCTGGGGCCACGGTCTCCGAGCAGGGCTCCGGCGCGGCCTTCTCCGGCCTGCCGCCGGCCAAGCTGCTGGTGGTTTTGACGGCCGACGCGCCCAGCGCGGCGGCCACATGCGGCGGCAGCGGCGGCGGGTGCCCCGGTGCCAGCCCCGGCGGGCTGGACGGCCGCGAGTGTGTGCTCTTCTCGCCGCTGCTCGGGCGCTTCTTCTCCAAGAGCCTGCCGCGGTTTTCGCTCTTCGGCCCGGGGGCGATGCTCGGGGGCCCGATGGCCGGGGGTCCGATGGCCGGGTCTCTGGCGGCCCTCCTGCCGGCCGGTGCCGGGGGCCTCGGCGACGCCGGCCCCGGTGGCGGTGTCCCGGTGTCGGTCCTGTCCCCGGGGCCGGGGTCCTCCTCGGGCCCCGGCGGCGGGCCCGGCAGCGGCATCGGCCCGGGTGCCTCGTCGACCCCCAGCGGCATCGCCATGCCCCCCTCCGGGGGTGGACTCTACATCAATGTGCAGATTGGCAGCTCGCCGCGTGACTATGTGGTCCTGCGGGCGCAGGTGTCCGGCAGCCCGGCCGGGCTGCTCGGGCCCGCGGCCGGCGCCGGCCTGCCGGACGACCGGGACCTCACCGTTGCCACGCTGGTCCGGCTGCTGGTTCACAGCGCGTCCATGTCCTCGCCCATGGGGTCGGCCGCGTCGTCGGCCTTCTCCTCGCGCCAGCCTTCGGTCGGCATGGAGTCGGTCATGCAGGCGGTCGATCGCCGCCGGCAAATGCAGCAGGCCGACCAGCAGCCACAGCAGCCCCCCGGCCAGGGGGACGTCGCCAGCCCCGGTGTCGGTGTCGGTGTCGGTGGCGGCGGCGGCGGCGGCGGCGGCGGTGGCGGCGGCCCGCCCGGGCTGCTGGTCCCCCACCGGCCGACCACCTCGCCGGAGATGCTGAGCGCCGGGGTCACCGTGGCCGAGGGGTCACCCGGCTTCTCGGATGCCATCACCCGGCTGAAGTCCCTCCTGGCGGCGGAGACGTACGTCACCTGGCTGTGGCCCGGGGGCCTTGCCACTTCCTCTTCGCCCCCCTCCGCTCCTCCTTTCCCCTGCCTCGCTTGCCCCTTTTGTGCCCTCCTTCCATTGGCCGTCCTCGGGCGGCGCCCCCGACCGACTTATGCCCCTCGACTGACCGGTGTCCCTCCCCCGGCTGACCTCCGCTCCCGGCTGCCGACCATGGGCATGCCACCACCAGCGTGCTTGGCCTGTATGTGATCATCGATGGCCGGCCGCTTGCCCTGCGCCCGCACCATGATGATACATCGTTGCTGCTGGTGGCGCTGGATGCCCGGCGCGGGGGCTCGGTCGATGCGCCGTTGCTGCTGCAATTGCGCGTGGTTCCGCGCGTGCCGCGCTTGAAGACCCGGCCCACACGCCGGCGGGGAGGCCGGTCAGCCGCTGCCGCCGCCATGGCCGCCGCATCCTCTTCGGAGGCTGGCCGACCGGCCGACACGGTGGAGGATGCCCCCACCGAGGAGATCTGGGAGAACCTGAGTGCCGTGCCCCGGGTCCTGCGGGCCATTTACGAACGGTCGGCCCCGACCCCGGCCGAGATTGCGGCCGGTGTCTCGGGCCCGAGCCACAGCGCCGCGCACGCCGAGACGTCGGCCCTGCTGCCGCGTTCCCTGGCCACCGACATTCAGAATGTCGTACGTCTCCGCGCACGGCATGTCCCTTTCCCCCTCCCAAGGCAAGGATGGCTGTGGCTGTGGCTGTGGCTGTGGCTGTGGCTGTGGCTGTGGCTGTGGCTGTGGCTGTGGCTGTGGCTGTGGCTGCGGCTGCGGCTGCGGTTGCGGTTGCTGCCACCGACATGCCCTCCCCTCGCCCTCCCCTCGCCCTCCCCTCGCCCTCCCCTCGCCCTCCCCTCGCCCTCCCCTCGCCCTCCCCTCGCACCCTCCTCCCCCTGTACGCCCATTTCAAAGACTGACCACTGGCTTGTGTCTGCTCGCGACGCCCATCGACGCAGTTCATGCCCTCCTGGCGCATCTGCTGCGAGCGGATCCTTGCACGGGTGCCGCGCGCCGTCCAGGTGGACTCCTTCCAGAGCGGAGCCATCGTCCTGCCCCACTGGTCGCTGGTGTGTAGCCCTGCCCTGTCTGTGGTGCCCTGGGAGCGCATGATGCCGGGGACCGTGTCATCCTCCAGCAGCGGTGGCCCAGTCATTCGAGCCACGCCGGCATTCATCCTGGGCGGCATCTCGGCCTTCACGCCGCCGCTTCCCCGGCGCCCCTGCTGCCTCGGCCGGCCGCTGGCTGCCTGCTCGTACTGCTTCAGTGCCAGCCTGGCACAGCCGGGCCCCCCGGCGCCAGGTGCCCCAGCGCTGGCCACCGGCGCCCAGTCCCCTGCTGGCAGTGCGGCCGCCGCCAATGCCACCGGTGGGCTGGGCTCGGGCCCAGTGGGCCCTCCCGCGGGGGAGCCCCCCGCCGGGGTGCCCCTGTCGCCGAAGGCCGCCCTTCGCCGGCGGCTGCCCGGGTCGCTGGCCGTGACCATCGTCGTGTGCGGGTATGACCGGCCGGCCGGGCCCCCGGCCGACGACCTGATCCCGGCCGGGGGTTCTGGCCCCGCGCCGGCCGGCGTGTCGCTCTATGACCGGGCCGACCAGGTCCCCCCGTCCAAGTTGGCCGAGGAGGAGTACCTGCTGCTCCGGTCGAGTGCCCTGATCCGGTCGCTGATCGCCTCCTCCTCGGCGTCGGTCTCGCCGCCGGCGCCGTCGCTCTACTTCGATCTGACCGGCCAGCAGGCAGCCCTGTCTCCCTTCGCCTCGGCTTCCGGGCAGGTGTCGCGCCTGCTGTCATCCGTATGTCGCCATTCGCCCCTGTGCCGATGCCGCCCATGCTGCTGCTCTTGCTGCCCGCCCTCGGCCGTGCCCCTGTGTTGGCTAGCCCGGCTCTGACCCTCTGCCCCCATGCGTGCCCCCCCCCCCCCCCGGGGCGACACGGCCCCAGCGCTACTGGATCGAGACCAGCCGCGCGGCCACCCGCTTCGAAGCCCGGCCGGTGCCGCTCTTCCGCCATCCGCGCGTGACCAAATTCCTGTCCTTGACTTCCCCCTCGGTCGGCCCGGCCTTCCCCTTCACACGCACGCTGGTCGGGGCGCCTGGGACTGGAGCCGGTCCCGGGGGCCTGGCGGCCGGCGGCCCGGGCGGCTCCGGCGGCCCGATGCTGCCCCTCGGCGCCGGCGGCGGCACCCTCGGCCGGTCGGCCGGTGCCAGCAACAATGCCCTCATGGCGGCCAGCTTCATGTCGCTCGGGCCGAGCGGGCCCCCGGGCGCCGGGGCCTATGGCGGGAGTGGCTCCCGCGGGTCCGGCGGCTCCGCGGTGATGGCCTCCGCCGCCGATGCGCCCACCTTCGGCCGCAAGTCCAGCCAGCGGTCGGCCTCGGAGGCCCTGCTTCCCTCGGGCCCGGATGCCGATGTCATCCTGGCGCTGGTGCCCCTGAGTGGGGGCCCGCTGGCGCGCTCGCCGCGCGCCGTGCTGGCCCGGCTCTTTTCCGTGCCGCCGGTGGCGGCCTCGGCCTCGACCACGGCCGCCGGGGCTCTGCACGCCGGGGCCGTTCTCACTCCGCTGATGGTGTCCCGCCAGACGGCGGTCCTGCTCAATCCCCCGGTGGCGGAGTCCTCCATCAAGAAGTCCCGCCGACGCCTGTTCAGTTCCTCCTCGACGTCGGCCCATGTCGAAGCGGATTCGGTGCCCCTGGCCCATGCCTCGGCTCCGAGCCTGTGCCTGGGCGCCGCGAGCGCGGCCGGCGGGGGGGCGGCCCCCCCGGCCGGGGCCGGCACCTCGAGTCGGTCCTCCGGGCGGTCGGCCAAGTCGGTCTTCCGGCCGCTACGGTCTTCCTCCTCTCGGGCGGCGGCGGCGGCGGCGGCGGCGGCGGCAGCCGCATCAGCGCCCGCGGCGTCGGGCCCCGCCAACCCCGCCCCCGCGCCGGCTACCACCGGGGCTGGGGCCGGGCCTGGCTCCGCCCAGGGGGCCGGCGCCGACGCGGGTCCCCTGGCCGGCCCCACCCTCGGCCCGCGCTTCCGCCGGCACATTGTGGTCATCCAGTGCCTCAGCGACTTGGTCTTCTGCCATCCGTGGTCCGTGAGCCTGGTCGATGTGGCCGGCTCCATCCTGCCGCTCGAGGTGGCCCGGGCCCTGGCCGACGGGGCGGCCCTCTCGACCGTCGCCCCGGCCGACATGGCCATCTGCCCGCTGGTCACGGTGATCTTCATCCCGCGCATCCAGGCCGCCCGGCTGGTGCGTGTCATCGAGGCGGCGGCCGTCCACCTGTCCGGCTCGCCGGCCTTCACCGCCCCCGGAGCCGAGGCCATGTCCCCATCGGAGGAGCGCGCGCGCCTGATCGCTGCCATCCTCAGCCGCGCCAATGCCATTGACCTGGCGCCGGCCATCTTCTAGACGCCCGCCGGCGTCCGGCGTTCCTCCCCGCCCCCTCCCCCCCCCCCACCTTTGAATATACATATACATCCTTGTGCCAATGGGACCGTTGTTTTTTCTATTCCCCCCCCCCCCTACTGGCCCCGAACCGTCGAATGGGGAGGGCCACTCCTGCGAGGAGGCCTCCTGCATGGGGGCTGCGTGGAAAAAAAAAAAAAAAAAGACCAAGCGCCAATACACGAGGAAAGTGGCCGTGTATGTGTATATTTGCATGTGACGTACGCATGTGAAGGCTGGAGGGGGGAGGGCGCGTCAAGCCGAGCACAGAGGGAGGCTACTCGTCGCCAGACGGGAAGGTCGCAAACGTGAAGGACCCGAACTCCTCCATGTCAATCGGGCCATCGGCCGGCGCGGCCGCCGAGCCGGATGCCACCGCCTGGGGCCCTTCGTCAGAAGAGGACGAGGCCCCGGGGCCCGAGGAGGCAGAGCCGGGGGATGTCGTGCCGGCCGCCGCCGGCGCTTCGCCCCCCGACGAGGGCGGCGACGACGCCTGAAGTTGGGCCATGTAGTCAGACATGATGGCGATCTGAGACTCATACGCCCGACGGGTGGACTCGCCATCCTCCAGGGCCAGGGTGGCCCGGCCCTCGGCATCCAGGGCCCGCGTCGTCAGCAGGGCGATTTCCTGATGACAGGCGGCCAGCTCCGACTCGATGGCACGCAGGCGGATCTCGGCCGAGGTGCGCTGGCTCGCCAGGCGAGCCAGGCGAACGCTCACCCCCGAGGCCGCAGCCGAGGCGGCCCCCTCGGGCGACACAAAGTCCCCCGGCAGGGCCAGCGGCAGGGGCAGCGACGACTGTGGCACCGGAGGACCAACGGCCGGGTGTCAGTCAGTTGAGCGGACACACGGCATGCGTGAAGCAATCACCCCATTACAAACGCACCACACTGGACCCGGTCAGGGGATCTTCAAAGAGAACGGTGGCCGCCGAGTGGCCCCACTTCGAGGAGGCCGGAGCCACATGGACCGACTGCGAGGGCCCGGCCACCGGCGGGCCTGCCTGCAGCCCCGCCGGCCCACCGGCCGAGGTGCCGCTTCCCGGTCCCGGGGAGGCCGGCCCGGAGTTGACAAAATCCCCGAACCCGTCGTCCGGCTGCTCGGTCGAGCCGGGCGACGCTTGGGCAGCCGGCTTGGCCCCGGGGCCCGGACTGCCGGCCACTGTGGCCCAGCTGAAGGCAAATTCATCGCCAGGCACAGGGGGGCTGGCAGCCGGCTCGGGGAAGCTCGGCCCCGAGAGGTCCAGCAGCATGCCGATGCTCGGTGAGGATGGGCCACTGGCGCCGGCACCGGACCCCGGGGCCGGCAGCAGGGCCGCCGACGGGACCGGCGATTCGGAGTCCGACCCGGACGGCGGCGAGGGGGAAGGCGAGTGGATGCCCAGCGACCCGGCGGCAGCGGGCGACCCGGCGCCCGGGGGCTTTGTGCCCGGCTCGAGGTCGCCGGCCGGGGCCGCCACAGCCATGCCGGCCGGGGCTCCGGCCGTGGCGGCCGCAGCCTCCAGGGCGGCCACCTGCGCGGCCAAAGCCGCACACCGGGCCCGAAGCTCCGCCTGCTCGGCCTCGGCCTGGCGACGGAGCTGGGCCTCTGACCGGAGCTCCGCCTGGAGCGCCTGGGTGGCGCGCTCGGCGGCGGCGACGCGCTCGCGGCTGGCGGCGCGCTGCTCCGAGAGCTGGGCCACCTCGGCGCGCAGCCGGCGCTCCGTCTCCCGGTGCTCTTGCAGGGTCACCTGGACGGCGCGCGCGTCGCGCTGGAGCCCGGCATTCTCGGCCCGGAGGGCCTCCTGCTGGGCCATCAGCGCGCTGTGCTTCTCGCGGAGTTTGACGATGCCCTCTGTGGGCGACCAGCCCACCAGGCAGGCACAGAACGGCAGCGGCCCAGGGCAAAAAGACCCAGGGGGGGGGGGGGGGGAGCCATGGCAAAGACCGCGGACAGAGGCAGCGTTAGAGCGCGCCACACGGGGACAAGCAGAGCACCAGTCCCGGGACGGACCTTTCAGGGCGGCAACCGACGCCTCGGAGGTTCGGATCTTGCTCTCGGCCTGCTGGGCCACGCTCGCCTGGCGCAGGGCCTCATGGTGCGGAATGAACTCCGGCTCGGCGGGCTGGTGGCCCGAGACAGCGACCGGGGAGCACGGGGGGGGGGGGGCAGGGGAGCGACAAGGGGCAGAGGTCAGCCGAGGAGGAGGGCAAACGCGCGGGGCAGACCCCTGCCGGCCGGGACGAGGCGCACCAGGTCCAGCCCGGCAAGCATGTAGCTCCGGGTCCGGAGGGCCAGATCATCACGGTCGGCCCCGGCGGCCAGGTGGCCGCGGTTCCCCGGGGCCAGCATGTCCGTGGCCAGCATGAGCCCATCGCGCGTGGCCGACTGCACATGCCGCGTGGCCGAGAAGGCGATCGGGAACATGCTGATCAGCGGCCGGACCGAGGCCGGCAGCGAATTGGAGGACGTCACCAGGCGCGGGAGGAGGACCAGCTGCTGGCTTGGGGCCGGGCTGGCGGCCGACGCCAGGCCCACCGGGCGCGAGGGGCTCTGCGCGATGAAGGCATGCGCCGCCACGGCGGCCAGCGCCTCCGAGGTGCTCAGCTGCTGGAAGGCATCCATCAAGCCGGCCACCTGGCCGGGGATCCGGCCACAGGCATTCGGCAGCTCGCGCAGGGCAGACCACTCATCGGCAGCCTCCCGGAGGCGGTATGCTCCGGCCGAGACCGACCGGACAAAGGCCTTCTCCGTGGAGGAGAACCCGGCCAGAGCGGTGAAGAAATCTGCCACACCACAGGCGCCCGGGACGGTGAGTGGGGGGGGGGGGGCACAGGAAGGATGACAGGGCGAGCCGAGGGGGAAGGGCATGGCCGCGAGGACAGGGCGGGAGGGGGTGCGGGGGAGGGGGCCGGGGAGGAGCGGAGGGGCAAGAGGCACACACCTTTGGTATTGCGCGCCAGGGCATGGGACGAGGCACTCCGCAGGACGAGGTAGGTTTGGAGGAGAGCATGCCGGCCACCGGGCCCGGGGCAAGCCGAGCCCCGGCCGAAGATGGCCTCCCGCTCGGCGCTCACAGATGCCAGGGCCTTCTCCAGCGAGACGATCAGGATCGAAAAGTAGGACACCAACTTTTGCGAGGAGGTGATCAGCTGCAGGAGCTTCGGCGGAACCTCATTGGTGGCCAGCAGTCGCAGGGCGGTCTGACACTCGAAGGATACCTGCCGCTGGTGGTGCCGCAGCAGGGTGCCAAAGTGCCCAAGCAGGGCCACCAGCGCATCGAGAAGGCCCTCGCCGGGCCGGGCGGCCGGCGGGCCGGAGGTATTGAGCACGGCGGCCAGGTCATCCAGCGCGGTGCCAAACTCCTCAAGTGGGCCGGTCTGATCTGCAGCGTCGAACAGCTATCACCCCGGCGAGTTTGGTGAGTAGAGAATCCGGCGAGTAGAGAATCCGGCGGGTTGAGAACCGAGGGAGAGAGGGAGAGAGAGAATGTGCGTGTGTGCAGTGTGCAGTGTGAGTGTGAAACCGGAGAGCGGGAGCCAGAGCGGACAGATACTCGCATCGAGGAGGCTGACTGGAGCCGAGAGAGCCACCACAAGAGGAACGCACCTGGAGGAAGAGCCCAGCCAGGGTGGTATCCGAGTCGCTGGACCCCGGAGAGGAAGCCCCACTGGACATTCCACCGGGTGAAGCCATGTCACTTGGCCCGGTGAGGTCCCCCGACTCCGGCAGCGACACGGACGATAGTCGAGCAAAGTCCACCCCGAAGGCAATGCTGGGCGATTCGTCCAGCGACAGGACATTGCCGCAGCGGAGCTTCAACAGGCCCTGGAACTGGCCAAGCCCCTCGGCCAAAGCGGCCCACGCCTTGCCGATATCTTGAAGGGGCTGAGCAGTCACCGGTGCAAGGGGCGACGAGGAGGACGGGCAAGCGATGCGGAGGAGCCGCTGTCAGGCACACAGGTCGATGGCGAGAGGGACCGAAAGAGAGGGAGAGGGGGACCGCGCGATCGGGGGGGGGGGGGGGGGGGGGGGGGGGGGGGGAAGCCACTGGCGGAGGAGGGCCACCCCAAAGGCGCCATGGGCGGGCAAGAAGTCGTACAAGGGCCAGGGGCGGCAACCACCGGCGCTGCATGTCCAGCAACCACCAGCTGGTGATGCGGCCAGGGTCGATCCAGCCGCCGGCGCGCCAGCGCGAGGCCGACGTCAGGACGATCGCATGCGCCGCCGAGTGGGCCACCTCCGAGGTCTCTCGCAGCCGAGTCAACGCCGAGCTGGCGGCCTGCCGGGACTCCTCCAGCGCGGCGGCCGCAATCCGGGCATTGGCTTCGGCCTGCTCGGCGGCCAGACGCTGCTCCAGCAGCAGCTGCTCCTTCTCCTGGGTCAGCTGCTCGGATTGCTCCTGCGTTTCGGTGAGGCGCTGGCGAAGGGCAGCCGCGTGGGCGGCCGCCTCGGCCACCTCCGCCTCGAGATCGGCCACAAGCGAATGGAGACGCGCTGCAATGCCGATGAGTCAGTCTGCGCCAGGGCATCCGGTGGCCAAGGCCAGCCATACGTGGCCGGCACCCGCGGAAGGGAAGGCGGGTCACATGCTTGGGCCGGCAGGAAAAAAAAAAAAAAAAAGGGCGCACCGGCCTCGGAGATCCGCAGCGACAGGTCGTCCTTGATGGTGTCCAGCTCGCCACACACGCGCGCATACTCCTTCTTGGGGATGCCGCCAATCCAGGCCGAACCACTGGTGGCCTCCTGCACGGGGGAAAGGGGGGAAGCCGGTCAATGCCGAGTGGGGCGCGAGGCGCAGGACAAGGCACGCAAGGCGAGGAGCCCGTCCGCAAGAGGGGCAAGAGGTAGACCGAACGCACGATCTGGCGGATCTCCTCCTGCAGGCTTTCCACACGCCGGGTCAGACGCCCATTGTGGAAGTTCAAGATGCTCGACTCCTCGGAGAGCTGGCGTGAAGGCCGGGCACAGATGCATCAGCACACGAGCATGGACACACGGGCAGGCGATGAGGGAAGAGCCGAGGGCAGGGCTGGCCAGGCGAAAGACAGTCGGACCTTGTGAAGCTCAATCTTCTGCGCCCGCGAGTCGGCCTGCAGCTTTTGCACGGACTCTTGCTCCTTCGAGCAGGGGACCGCAGGGCAGGCAAGGACCAGAAAAAAGAAGAAGAGAGACA